GATATTAGTATTAAAGTTTGTAAGTGTGGTGGGTTGTGTGTAGTCGGGGGGAGGGGGGTGTGGGTGTGTTTTAGTTTTGGGGTGGGGGGGGGGGGGGGGGGGGCTATGATATGTTCCTTTTATAAATCAACATCTCTTGAGGAGGGGTCAGAAAAAAAACCCTGAGATTATCAGGCGGGGGGCTTCAAAAAATGAAAGGAAAAAATAAGGAAATCATCATAGCCCACCCTCTAGATAAATTATGAAATCAATGCTCCCTTATGAAGAATTATGGAGATCGAGGAGGGTGTTATCGGCCAAGGCGGATAACACCCCCTGAGGTCTCCATGATTCTTCATATGATACGAAAGCCGAACTCAATAATATTGTTTTATTATTCATTCAAAATAATTCCTAGTTTAAAAACATGGCTAAAACATGCTTACCTCACGTTTAGGGTTGTTCAGCTCCGCAAATATTCTCCAAATAGCAGATGTTGCCCTTCGAGTTGTCTTCTTGCTGTTCTTGCCATGTTTTTAGCTATATAGTTCTTACTCTTGAAACGAGTGAAATGACCACCATTTTTGTTTTCATGAGTAAAACAACTCAACCTTGTCCCCAGGTCTTCTCGGTTAACGGTGCATTAACCTGCAAGAAAGCTGCACTTTTGATGTCATCTAGACTACAAGTAGTCCCCCATTTTTCCTCAGGGATAGTAGAGCGAGCAAAATGTGAGCTCGCGTGAAAATCGCCCCACGCGAGAAAAGGGGCCTTTTCTCGCGTGGGGTAATTTTCACGCGTGGTTCGCGTTTCGCTCACTCTACTATCCCTGAGGAAAAATGGGGGACTACTCGTAGTCTAGATGTCATCGGTTTATTAAATGCAAAGTTCTTCCAAATTTGGTCATCAGTAGCTGATTATGATGAATTATGGGTGTGCTTTCAGCCAGTCAGAATCGGGGACATATTTTCAATGAATAATAACTTGCCTCATGGCCTAAAATTGAAGTGAAAGTTTTGGGGGAATTCAAATTTAAGAAAAGAAGTGTCATCATTCCTCTTCATCCAAAAAAGAATTTTGGGGCTAGTTAAAATGACTTTTGGGCTATATGTATGTGTACATGATGCTAGCCACAGGCACGCTGTAAAACTGACTTTCTTTGCACCCTGCTCTTGACACATGAGTGTTAATAGCATCACAATAATATTGTGTTGTTTATTTTCAGATTGTTCTCAGAATACAACCTTGGTAGCTCCAACATTACCTGCACGAGGAAACTTTACTATTTTAACAAAGAGGACTTGTGGATGGTACATCACAGCTCCTGAGAATAACATTGTGTTTCTGGACCTTGTGTCGGCAATCTCTTCACCACCCTCTTTAGGGGACAGTATTGAGTTTTATGATGTCAATGGCTCAAGTTTAACTCGTATTCCATTTCATTTTCCCAATCAAGCTGGCCTTGATCGTTACCTGTATGAGCTCCTCTATTCTAAGTTTCAATCCGTGTATGTTGCATTCAAGAGTGGTGGCAAGACAGATGATGAGTTAACTATTGAGTACTCATCTCTTCATCCGGGTAAGATTACTGGTGGTAATTAATCCAAAATATTTTTGTTAAAACATAATAAATTTTTTGTTACCACATCAAAGAGAAAATTCTGAGCTTTCAGTTCTGCAAGAGCCTTAGTGGATTGAGTAGCTAGTGACCTAATCAGTTCTGATCACTAACTTACATAGCAAGCATTTCTGTTTGAGCTATTGCATGAAAACAAAAAATGGGAGAAGGGGGGTGGGAGAGGAGTCAGAGAAGGTTATTTTTTATTCTTTTGCTCTTGTTCCAGCTTAAGTGCATTAACTCAAACAGAAACACCTGCTACACTGCAGCATGCAAAGAAAGTTGTGTCCAATAGCCCAGGGCTAGTGGATAATTTGCTATCGGGCTTGTGATTTTTGTTCTTAACTTGCCTGACAGGCAAGTGCTGTTTTTGGGGAAAATTCAAATTACAGCAGGATTGTAATAAATCCTGCTAATCAAAAAGGGTTTTGGGTCTAGTTAAAATGACTTGTGGGCTAGCACATGCTAGCTAGAGCTTTCCTGAATGGTAGGCTATAAAACTGACTATTTTTTCCCCAGTGCACAGGCTACCAGATCACTAAAATGTTGATGAGATTATAATATTAGCCATAAAAAATAAAGGAAAATAGCAAGGAGAGGGGTGCTTACCATTTACACAAACCACCCGCGTGGAAATTCTGTGCATAAACATAAAACTATAGAATTTGACGGGGTGGGAAGACGAACTGCGTCAAACTATATCCAAATCAGCTGAGCAATACAAAGACTAGAAAAATTACTTCATCACAAACCACAGCCCATATTTTCAGAAGCTTCCCAGGAACGGAATGGCGTGAACCATTTGACTTTCCAACTGGAATTTCCAGTTTTTCCAAGTAAATGGTAAGTACCCTAGGACTCTTTTATGTAGGAAGAATTATGGAAAAGTGGTTCAAAGACAACATTGAGGACTAGCTGGTTTCAAGCGTTGCCATTACTTTGTTCCCTTTAGGGCACGAAAAAAGTGCTGTCTGTTAGTCGGGCAGGACAAGTAGATATTCTGGATCAATTTTTAGGTTTCTGGGAAACTGCCCACCTACCCCTCCCCTAAGCTGACATTAACACTAACTTCTCACTTAGCGCAAAATGATGGCGTAGGGGAGGGGTAGGTGGGCAGTTTCCCAGAAACCTAAATTGATCCAATGTTCTTGCTGGGCAACTGAAACGCTTAAAGCTTTACATGTACTTACCCGATGGGCAAGGGTCCAGCAAGTCATGCACTAACAAAATCATTAACCCTTTATGCCCCAATATCCACATCTAAATTCTCAATACTGAGCTTCATACATTTATTTAAAGAATTAGTTGAGAGACTTTGATGACAGATCAAAGCATTTTCTCTTTATTGATCATTTTATTAACTCTCATAACCATTTCTCTTGGCGACATTTTTTTTTAAATCAATATTTATCCAGAGCATCCAATTTAGCAGAGCTAGTTAAATGGAGCCCTGACACAACACAATAACAAAGACATCTTAAAACATTAAAACTTGACAATTACTCAAGTAACAAAGGCATCATCTACCGCAGGCATTACTGTTTAAAATGGCGCTTTAACTTGATTTTAAATTCATTGAGGGTCTCTACTTATTCTAATTATTCTCGGTAGGGTGTTGTAGGTCCGAGCACCGTTTACTCTGAAGCTTCCTTGGTATTTAGTAGTTTTTGCGAAGGGGGGACGCAGCAAATCACGGCTTTTGGTGTTATAGCCATGGAAAAGGTGCGCGTGCCTATACTCTGTAAGTAAGTACGAAGGCGCTATTCCGTGAAGACACTTAGGGACTAAGACGCATTCGACATAATTTCTGCGTGCTTGTAGGCTGGGCCAGCCAAGTGTTGATTTTAACTCCTCAGCCCCGATAGATCGACCTTCAATAATACATGCGGCGCGTCTATTTAGCTTATCTAGATAGGCTTTGCTCCCTACCCCACAACTGTCCCAGACAGGCGAACAGTAATTGAACAATGGCAAGACTAAAGTATTGTAGAGCATTTGACAAGTTGGCTTGGGAAGAACCTTACGCGCTCGACGCAGAATACTTAGTCTAGACGAGATCTTTTTACCGATTTACCGATATAGGGACATTGTTAGGAGAAAATTGTTGTTGATCACTATTGGGACTTAAAGGGTTAACTAAGACGAGCAAGAAGTGGTGCCGGGCAGGCAGAATAGAATGTGAGAGCCTCTTGCCCAAAGGACATATTCTCAAGTTTTTCCCAAACACTGCCCTTACTCTGCTTACTCTATTATTCTTTTCTTTGGTCAGGTGTTACCAGTTTACTAGTATGGGTACAAATTGAATAAAACACTGCTTTGCAGCGCGCCTTTATACTCAGCTTAGTGGGCAAGAGATCTGGGTACGAGTGCATTCATTGACAACGCGGATGTAACTTACAAATGGCACGCAATAGAGAGGAGAAGTGTGACGTTACGTTACCATGGTAGCACTATTTCTGGATGACAACAAAACCACGACGGCGACGGCAAGGAGAACGGCAAAAAATAATATGTTTATGTTAACAAACAACAACTTTGCAAGGGCATCACGCTATTTTGTACATTTCTTTGTCGTCGTTGCACCACTACGACACGAAACTTCCTAATTTCACGAGCCCCCGCTTTATGGAGTAGGTGAACACAACACAAAAATTGTCCTTTTCTTTTTCTAACCTCAGATAACGATAGATACGGTCCTAAAGAAAATTTCGCCAAGATTTGCCAAAATAAATGAAATTGAATAAGATCGGTGAAGTTTGAAATAGTGCAAATAGACTTTTAGGTGACTTTATCGGTTTGCTGTCATCCAAAAATTTTGCTACCATGGCAACGTGAGGTAACTATTTCTCTCAAAAAGTAGATGTGTCGCGACCTCTTCTCGTAACCGACCACCTCGCCAGTCTCCCTTGCAGGAGTTTTTGTCTCGTCACCGCAACGCTCCAAGAGCCTTAAAGCGATCACTAAACTATTTTGGGTGGTCGCTTACGGGAGATTCTACTGTTTATCTCTTTGCAGTTCACTCTTGTTCCTCTGGAAACTCTTATGAAGAAAACATGGGTATTTTACTCAAAGATTCCTCTGGTACCATCACTACCCCAGGATTTCCCCAGGGCTATGACTATAGCCTGATCAGAGAATGTTCATGGACGATTCTTGCACCTGCGGGAAATGTGGTGCGAGTTGATTTTATCTCCTTTAGCTTGGCCTACAGTGATTATGTTACAATTGCGGATGCTCTTCCTGGGTGGAATTTAGCTCAGTCGATCAGACGTTCAGGTCATAAAGCTTCGTTTACAGTTTTCTCCATGGGTAACGAACTGAGCATCAACGTCTTTGGTCTTTATAGTTTTGGTACAGGTGGCCCAGGGTTTGTTGCAAATTTTACATCAGTTCCTACAGGTAAGAATACTCGTGAATTAGTTTGTGTTTGTGTGTGTGTGGAAAGGGATGCTCTCTTTATGCAAGAGATCGTGAAGCTTTACCCAGTCACTAATAAGGGGAGAATGGCATTGCTGGGATCACTTTAAGGGTGAGCCGGGATGCAAGGTTTTATTGAATTTTTCTTCAAACTAAGGGTGCGTTTCTTTGGGAGATCTAACTCGAAATCCAGATAGTTCAATCCAGGAACGGATTGCGGTTTCTTTTCTGGAATTAAAAAAGATTTTAGGTCTAAAGAATCAGCATTCCGAGCGGATTCAAATCTAAACCAGATTTTTGCGATTCGTGATCTGTGCGTGATTTTGGGCGCGGATCCCAAAGAAGAACACCTAGTAAACTGTTCGATGCAATAATTGATGCTGGACTTTGGGTTTCTCATGCTTGCAGCCGGCTAAAAAACCGGCGAATGGGAGGTTTGAGCTGTCTTCTTTTTGGGAAAAAAGGGTAAGTGAGAGCGAAAGCCTGAAATTGTCACTTATGTCCAGAAATGCACGCAGTGGCAAAAACGGCGAAAAATCGCTAGAGGGCTGGCGATTCAAGTTACCAAGCCACCTACTTTTAAAACATAGCTGTCTACTTTAACACTTAATGAGAACCCTGTGACTTTTAATTTCTTTCACATCTGTAATCCGAGGAAAATTTAATAAAAAATTTAATCCTGTATTGGATTCTTAAAATATTTACTCAATGAACATCATATATCATTGTGAGAGTTACTGCTGCATTGTGAGGCAGGTCTAGACAATTGCTTTTGATACATCTAGCTCCCGCTTGGCATGGCGGCACTTTACCGGCTATCTGAGCTAACCAGGCAAAAGTCTAGTTCTTCCTTCTCTTTCTCTGTGTCAGAAATGCTACGCTTTCTCAAAAGCTTAGAGTTGCTTGACACAGAGTGGGCATGAGCTGGAACAACCAGAAATTGCTAACTGAAGTTAATGAAACGTGCTTTAAAAATTGCAAAAACATGTTTGGATTTTTTATGTACAGTTATATCAGGAACTTGCGACCCAAAACAAAACAGCATTGTCCAAGTGGATGGTGACGGACTGACTTTCTCGACCCCTGGCTTCCCCTCATTTCCAGGAAATGGAACCTGCACTTGGAATATCACAGTACCAATCGGGCGGTTTATCAAGCTAACATTTTGGAGAAAATATGAAGATTGTAAAGAAAACTTTGTAAACGTTTTTGATGCGACAAATTCTACACGCATATCACTTGGAAAATTCTGCAGCTTATTCGAGGAAGTTGTGTTCTCCAGGGGGAACAGTTTGCTTGTTGAGTATAATTCCTTGCGCAGGGCCTCTTACAATGGATTCTTAGCTACGTATGAAACTATCAGGGAGCGACCTGCAAACTATTCTTGTTCAAGAGATCGAGATGAAAGTTTGCTGGAAGACGATCAGGGAGAATTTGCCAGCTTTTCATATCCTGTCCATTACCCTAATAACGCCAAGTGTTCCTGGCATATTTATCGTCCGGCTGGATTTATCATACAGTTAACATTTCATTCATTTAATTTACAACAATCGGAGAACTGTGAAGCTGACTTTGTAGAAATTAGGCAGAGCAAAGACATAACTGTAAGGCGTTGGGAGTTAATTGCCAGATTCTGCGGTTCTTCCCTTCCTCCGGTTATTGTGTCCAACCAGTCAAATGTGTTTGTGAATTTTGTCACTGACATGTTTAAAATGTACCCAGGATTCCATGCAAGCTACAAGGTCCTCGCTAACCGTAAGTATTTCAGGGTATTACGCTGTAGAAAGATGAACTAAATGAGGTAAAATAAAATAAACGACTAAAAGTAATAACCTCTTAACACAAAGGCTAGTGAGGCTGAACTAATAAAGAGAATTTAGAATGTCTAAAGGAGTTTTGGTGTACTGTCAACTCTGATAATGTCACATTATTCGTAGCACAAGTCGTAAACACAAAGAACGTTTCGCGTGTTTTGTTAGCCAATTTTATCGGGAACGAAATTTGTCATTAAAAAAATTGCGCTAGTTTTCGTCGGTACACGAAAAAACGAGCAAATGAAAATTTTCGCGTTAAACTTGTATGTGTAGACACAGCATGTGTACAATCGCCCCAACCCTCAGAAAGATTCGGAGCGGGTGTATGAAGGGGGAGGGGGGGGGGTGGGGGGCGGCGCTGGAATTTACAAANCTAGTGTGAACAAAGGTTAATAATTTGTACTGTCATTCAATTTTCAGCGGCCATGGGAGCGTGCAAAAATCCAGGTCAAAACAACATCATACCCCTGACAAGTTCATCAGGCAGCCTCTTCTCGCCGCTCTACCCACAGGACTACCCGACTAAGATCATGTGTACTTGGGTGATAACAGTACCCGAGGGATACCTTGTGAGATTGAGAATCAAGGCATTTCGCCTGGGTTACAGTTGTGGCAGTTCCTCTCTCCAGATCTTTGATGGTAAAAGTTCATCAGGCAACTTATTGAAGAAGTTTTGTGGGAAAGACTATAACTTAAATGTTTTCTCCAGTGGTCGTCACCTTTTGGTTCAATATGATTCTCGCCAGGAGTATTTGGTTGGCGACGTTTTTTTCGATGCTGTGTTTGAGGCTGTAGATCGCGGTAAGGTTTAAAGAGTGTAGAATGCTAGCGGTTACTCAGTTTTGTTGTACGGGCCAGCAAATCAAGCGAGCAAACGTCGTAAGAAAGGGGAAAAAAGAAAAGAATTCTAACCAATTGGAAACTGGAGAGGAAGCAGGAGTATAGAGGGTTGCTTTTCCCCTTTCCCCTACCCAGCTCTTCTTTCGGTTCGTTCAGTTTCTCTCGCCATTCATTTGGCATTCTCAAACTTATTAATTATTCATACAGTCAAAAGTCAATAAATGACGACCATTTGGCTCAGGTGTATTAATCTTGATACCTAATGAAAAACCAGATAAAACGCCACCAGCAGCTTTTCATCAGAGATGAAACTTTTTTTTTTCATCAGAGATGAAACACCTGCATTTGCATTTGCATGTCAAAAACTCGGGCTTCGTGCTTCATCACCCGAGATGAAGCACTCGCCTAGTTTTTTTTACATATTACTTCACGACTACGTGCCTGAAAAGGGACTGCTAGCAGTCTAAGGCTGGCTATAAGCTTCTGTTATGTAGATACGTCTTGGTCCCGATAATTAACTTAAAACTTGTAAAATGAAAGTAACTGAGCAAACAGGATTATTTCCCTAAAGCCATGAGCTCGGCACAATCCGAGCTCCTCTTAAGGTCACAGTTTGACCCTACGTGGGCAAAAGCGGTCACTGATTCGAATGCCATTTTAAGCCAAAACGGTCATAGGTTTGACCCACATTTGTTTCCAACCTGTTGGGCCCAAAACAATCACGGTTTTCGCTTGTTCCATTTTGATGCGCCAAGCCTACTTCCCTGCATGATATTAAGGAGCTTAAAGCAACGATGACCGCGACGGCAACGAGAACGGCAAAAATGTGATAGGTTATATTTGCAAAACAACAGCTTTGCATGTTGCATGTGCATCACACTTTTTTTGTACATTTCTTAGCCTAATTTCACGTTTTGTCGAGGATGGGAACACAAGACAACAACTTTCTTGTTCTTTTCTTGAACTTTGAAACAGTCCTCTAGAATCAACTCCAAAACACTTTGCCAACTTTTGGAGAATTAAACGAGATGCTTGGAATAAGCGCGATAAAGTTTGAAGTAGCGCGAATTCACTTTTTAAGTGACGTTTTCGTTGCCGTCGCCGTCGTTGTTGTTAAAGTTTCCTCTTCTTGACTTGAACACATACCTTCTTATATTGTACATCTGAATCCACGAGTGGGCAAGATGAAGTAAATCCTTCGTTTTGATTGACTTACCGAGCGGGCAAGCTCGGCTCATCCTGCCCGCTTGGGATTTCCCACGTTGGTTCCTCAATAAAAACATAGGCACGTTAAACGTGCATGAGCTATTTTGACTGCTTTAATGCTTCGGTGTAACCTTACCAAGAGTGATGAATCTACCTCTTTCATCCTAAATGTAGATTGGGTTTTCATGCGAAATTGCGTATTGCGGTACATAAATGAAAACGCGAAACGCTCAGCTGAGTCGATCCTCAACCTATATATTCACTTTCCTCTGTCTTTCCCTGTTACATCATGCAAGTTAAACAAATCGTTAAAGTGGAATAAATTTCTACTCACCAAACGTTGATTAGAAGGAAAACTCTAAGGTTTCCTCAGAGTTTCTTAAGCCAAAATGTGACTCATCGAATACTGAATAGTTACGAAATACCAGGATTTTTATCATTGTGGTAGATGGTTGCATCATCATAATTCACGAGGTTTTCACGTGCGATTCTACTCAGTGAATAGTCTTTAACTCCGACAACTTATTTCTTCATGTTTTAAAAGCTATTGCTTCTTAAAAGACAAGAGCCTATTTTAAGGCATTGGTTACAAAACGAAACAGGTCTTCATACGTCCAAGTTACTATTTATCATTGTGAAAAGCCAATCTGCATGAGATGTACAGTCACACAGCTGGCACGTGAAAGTGTTGGACTTTGCCCCCTTTCGTTGTTCGTACGTGAGGGAATTCGAGTTATCATTCAGTAAACTAGTAAACAGATTTATAAAAATAACTCACGCACACAATTTGCACGTGAAGATGTTGGTCTTTGGCCCTTTTACAATTCGTACGTAAAAAAGGGCAAATTGTTTACTACAAAATTTTCTCAAACGATTTTAAGAAATCACCTCGGCTTCATTATAACATCTGGAATTAAATTATGTTTCATGCAACGTCAAGGTTGATAACCTAACATTTATTAACATTTGTGAAACAGTCTTTAACTCCGACAACTTATTTCGTCATGTTTTAAAAGCCATTGCTTCTTAAAAGACAAGAGCCTTTTTTAAGGCATTGGTTACTAAACGAAACAGGTCTTCATACGTCCAAGTTACTATTATTATTGTGAAAAGCCAATCTGCATGAGATGTACAGTCACACAGCTGGCACGTGAAAGTGTTGGACTTTGCCCCCTTTCGTCGTTCGTACGTGAGGGAATTCGAGTTATCACACAGTAATCTAGTAAACAGAATTATAAAAATAACTCATGCACACAATTTGCATGTGAAGATGTTGGTCTTTGGCCCTTTCACAATTCGTACGTAAAAAAGAGGCAAATTGTTTTACTACAAAATTTTCTCAAACGATTTTAAGAAATCACCTCGGCTTTATTACAACATCTGCAATTAAATTATGTTTCATGCAACGTCAAGGTTGATAGCCTAACATTTATTAACTTCCAAGAAAATTATCAAACTGCTGAAATATATTTCTACTTATATCATGTTGCTCCACTCAATATAACAGTATCTACTTATTGTGTCAACTAGCTTCTTCCAATTTTATTCCCTAACGCTACTGTTTCTACTTAAGTTACGCATCTTTACTAAATAGAACGAAAAAGATCGGTTGAACTTTGTAAGCGAGAGAATAATATTTTTAAAGCTTGTTTACAGGATTAACATTACTCGATACAGCTTTCAAAAAAATAAGCTGCCTTTTAAACTTCTAAAACCACATTTTATAGGGCGCATACTTTCGAATTAAAGTCTATATCTAAATATCAATTATTGCTTCATTGGAAGAGATTTGAAATTATATGATCTTTTATACTCTACCCAGTTGTAGCAGGTGAAACAGAACTCATACTGTCGTGCGTTGTACCGATAGCCGAATTAGGTCAGAAATGCATGCCTCGAAGCAGCATCCACACTTAAATATGAACCCTTAAACAGCTGCATCACTGTTCACAGCGTTTGAATCATGAAGATATTTTATGTACCCGTAATAAAAGACGAAAAAATTGTGAAGGATCAAGATGGCGGTCTCAAAGTGCCCTTGTTCGACCTTTACCAATTCCATGTTTAAATAGATGCCAAGATCTCATTGGTTCCTAAGCATCAACTCATAGTACCTTCAACCTTATTGGCTCTTGCAACAAACATCCCAACATACAAAGATACAAAGCCACAAAGATACATACGCTCACACCACTGACATATGAGCTATTTTTTCAAAATAGCTCAAAAATTCTTTACTTACCGGGCTTGTTCTATCCTGAGTACCAGAGGTTTTCTGCTTGTGTGAGGTGAAATGCTTTGGCGTCTGCGCAAGCGGAACCCATGAGAGGCAAAGCCTGGGTCACTCTTAAGACTTGACCAAACCCCCAAAATCGTGCAGGAAAAGTCTCTGAAACACAAGGTTAGCTAGTTCGTTCAAGTTTGTTGGTTATTGGCCTCGTTCTTCTTTATTGCATTTTATATAGCTCGACTTCTCGGTGCGTAAACTTGGCCAATATCCAGTCATCTTGGTCAATAACGAATGTTCGTTGCGGAGGAACGCGACACGAAGCCCTAATACCATTTTATTTTTTAAATTTTAGTACCAGCTTCTATTTCCTGTACTGAACGCTTCGACATTACCAAGTTAGAGACGAAAACTGGGGAACTTGCAAGCTACATCTATCCTCTACCTTACGATGACGATGTCAAGTGCATCTGGCTCATCATTGTGGATTCTAATTACGAAATAAGGCTGTCCTTTGATTACTTCAATCTGTCTCGATCCAGTGACTGTTCTGATGATTGTGTGGAAGTCCGTGATGGTCAGTTTGATACGAGTGAACTAGTTGGAAAGTTTTGTGGAGCGGATATACCTGAACCAATAACATCAGATTCCTCGGCTATGCGTTTGACATTCAAATCCAGTGGAAAGACAAAGTATCCTGGATTTAAAGCCAGCTACAAGACGAAAAGTAAGTTTGTAATGGTGAAAGTAACTTTTGGTTTTCTAGCCTCTTCTTTTTTATTGAACAGCAACCTACCCGACGGGTGTGTACAAAAATGGGACAAAATTGTAAATTGTAATTTGTTTACCCGCGGCGCGGTTAAGAGTTCATGAGAACTCTTTGAAACGTGTCCGTGCGTTCCAGATCGAATTGGAAATTGGAAGTGCTGGTTTTTATGGAGAGGGGAAAACCGGGCTATCCGGACAAAAACCTCTCGGCGCAAGGGAGAGAACCAACAACAAACTTAACCCACATAAGGCTTCGACGCCGGGATTTGAACCCGGGCCACATTGATGGGAGGCGAGTGCTTTCACCACTACGCCACCTTTGCTTTCCTACATAGGACACATAGGTCTCATGCCAAGTACCCTCCCCACCAAATCCATGAAAGGTAGACACCAAGGCGAGTTACCAGTAGCAGAGAGTCGTAGTTCCTTTACTTCTCGCAAGATTGGGTCTACCCGTAACCTTTTCGAGGCTCGGTTCCAGTGGAACCTCTGTTCAGGGAACACCCTCGGGACTCAGGCAAGTGTCCCCTCATTTGAGGTGTCGCCTGAGTAGAGGTTGGTTTATGTTTGTTAATAATTATCCAGACAAAGAAAATATGCTGCATTCATTATTTAATGCAGAAAGATAATGAGTGAAAAATCGCGATTAACTTCGCCCTGCAATATGGTGTGTTGAGTTCCCACAAGTGCAGAACACAAATTTAGGTGAGATAGCTCATGCTGTGAAAGCTGTCATCATAATTGTGAGAAGTGTACACGTAAACTTATCTACCCACTTTTCCCCTGAATAGTGGAGTTTCCATTCGTTTAAAAAGTTAGAGGTCCTTAGGACCCCCAGTCCCAGGAAATTGAAGGTCCTTTTCGCTTTAAAGGGTCCCAAGACCTATTTTGTGTGTATGTGTGATTACAAGAGTTAGAGGGGGTAATTTGCGGTCTACAATTTCTTCCTTTGCCACAAACAGAGCTGTTCTTACTAAAGACTTTAAAAGCCGTACCTGATTTTTCTTTCACATGAACTTTTCGTGAGATCTTCTTTGTTGATTTGCACAGCTGTGGGATGTTAATTTCCCAACTGATGGCGGTCTAAGGCTGATCGCTGAAAATTAGTTGCACCATGTGCAGAGGATTGGGATGGTTTTCCGAGACATCCGTTTGCATCTACACATGTTTTGCATTTCATCTGGTCATCGGTGGAAATATACATTAACCATGAAAATTCTTCAAGCCATTTGGACTTGAAGACACCCTTTTTGGGTCAGGAAAACTGCTGAGGATCTGCATCATTTTTTTTTCTCTGCCCGGTAGACGAAGATTGTGTTGGGTGGACATATTCCCCAATTAGACAAAATGGCCAGTTGATGAAACACGTAAGGATTTCCAAGATTGTTGCAAAGATGTCCTTGTGTGTGTCTGAAACTCTTGCGCTCAAAGAAGCGTGCGTCCTTTTCGATTTTTGATTGCAAAATACGCACACGTGTGCGTTAATGGGAACCCTGCTGACTGGAAGTAAAACCTGGGCTTTGGGACCCACAAAAGTGTCCCTTTCCCCTAAATAGAGGTGTCCTTTCAATAGAGGTAACAGTTACAAAGATTATGTGAACATTTTTCCGGCACCAAATTTTTGTGTCCCTTGAATGGAGATGTCCCTTGAATAGAGAAAGAGAAAGGGCTCCTCTCCCCAGTCCACATCTGAGTTCCTCGCCTTTTTCTTTTACCTCGTGCGATTCCTCGTGCTTGCTTTTCGCATCGTTCCTTCTGACAGGAACAGACAACAGGCTGTAGCAGGAGCCGATGTACAATTGGCTCCTGAGGGATGTCAAGCTGTTGTGGGAAGGGGGTATCTACTGTTTGCAAAAGGTAAAGTAAAGTGACAAGATTTGACCCGATTCTCTCAAAATGTCCTTTTGAACCCATAGATTTCGATAGCGCACTGTTATGTCACAGAATAATATTAGCAGCATCTCAACAAAATTTGCTAGAATTTTGTTTTTTTTTGGCATAAGATAAGAGCGATCTTTCGTTAAAAAATCTCGTTGTGCTGGTAACAGATATTGTAAACTGTTTTGATAGTATCGCTAAATATATAGAGGATATTACACGGTGGCGAGAAGATATGAATTTTATGTTCGAGTGGCAAGAACAATATCTCACGAGTGAGCGAAGCGAACGAGTGAGATATTGTTTTTGCCACGAGAACATAAAATTCATATCTTCGAGCCAACGTGTAATGTTCTTTTTATTATATGGAGAAACCAATTCAACAAAAGCAAAAGGCGGGAATCGTGACGTCATTGAACGATACGACACTCACATAGGTGACATACGGAAAATACGCCACTAGTAAAACACCTCCCAGTAAAACACTCTCCTCCATATAATAAAGCTTGATATAACACCCACTGAAATAGTGTGCACTTCAGATAGCCTAACGTAGCTTTGTTTATTTTCATCCGGCATCTTTTATTAAGGTACGGTTTCCCTTATTTCTGTTTAGTGTCCACAGGAGCCATTTTGAAAATTGTCGGATATTGTGTTGGTGGACTTGCTTTAACAATTGCTTTGATTGGAGGCTGTTTTAAGTGTTACCTTATGCATAAAGCAAGAAAAGCTGTTTCGGAAGAACTGCCAGACAACAGAGATGAGGATTCCCCACTACAAGAGCAAGCTACTAAACTCTAGGTTAGCTTACATTAACACTGGACCTCTCACATCTGAGTGTTAAGATGATAATAGATTAGAGAGCTTTAGATTTGAGGACCAGGACGACTACGAGTATAAGATTTAACTTAAAAGTTTTTTCGCGTATTGTCGAAAAATATTCAACCCGGGGAGCTTCATTGTACTATTTTTCACCTGAAGAGTTAGTGCGGTTATTTATATTGAAGACGTTTTAACACAAAAACTTGTTCCCGCTACAACGACACTCTCGCTAAAACTCGTAGTAGAATAACGACGGCTATCACGTTATCCTGCCCAAATTACGTCGGCTCACGCAAGAGCACTACTTAGTACTGAGAAAATCTCGTCCTCCTCCTAGTCCTCGTCTCAGAATCTAAAGCACTCCATTAATAAAAGTCCTTCGAGCCTTTCTGTACCACTCATTATTAAATACTCGGTCAGTCGCTGCGAGATGTCAAACCGGGATTTTTTGCGAGAGGATAGAGGAATCTGGGTCAGTCAGAGATGCCTATTTCCCTTTTGTAAACGGATGCTCATTTCCATTCGTGAAAGCCACCATTGGTAACCAGGCCTACAGTCGTGACGTAATATATACCCTGGATTAAGTTACAATAAGGCAAATAATACATTTTTAAATATTCTTAGAAAGATCGACGTTGAAGCCCATGTTAAACTTACGTTAAAAGTTATGGAAAGGGCTTTTGCTTCCCGGACTCAAAATTTTCCACGTCTACACGTATCCGGGTTCTTTCTTGGTACCCAGGACTCCTCTGGGAATATTGGCAACAGAACGTGCGTCGTAAAGCGCGCAAAATTTATATCCTTCTCTGCCTTGAGAGAACCTGGGAACGAGGTTCCTGTCTTGAAAACAAAATAGGGACCTTAAGATCCAGGACGGGAGAGAGGACGACGGCGCGCCAAAGGACGGTAAGGACTGGGCCTAGGTCCCCGTCTCACGCGATGGATAAATAGCTTAAGATTGTTGCCGACGGGGACGCCATTTTCAGGGAACACCCTCGGGACTCAGGCAAGTGTCCCCTCATTTGAGGTGTCGCCTGAGTAGAGGTTGGTTTATGTTTGTTAATAATTATCCAGACAAAGAAAATATGCTGCATTCATTATTTAATGCAGAAAGATAATGAGTGAAAAATCGCGATTAACTTCGCCCTGCAATATGGTGTGTTGAGTTCCCACAAGTGCAGAACACAAATTTAGGTGAGATAGCTCATGCTGTGAAAGCTGTCATCATAATTGTGAGAAGTGTACACGTAAACTTATCTACCCACTTTTCCCCTGAATAGTGGAGTTTCCATTCGTTTAAAAAGTTAGAGGTCCTTAGGACCCCCAGTCCCAGGAAATTGAAGGTCCTTTTCGCTTTAAAGGGTCCCAAGACCTATTTTGTGTGTATGTGTGATTACAAGAGTTAGAGGGGGTAATTTGCGGTCTACAATTTCTTCCTTTGCCACAAACAGAGCTGTTCTTACTAAAGACTTTAAAAGCCGTACCTGATTTTTCTTTCACATGAACTTTTCGTGAGATCTTCTTTGTTGATTTGCACAGCTGTGGGATGTTAATTTCCCAACTGATGGCGGTCTAAGGCTGATCGCTGAAAATTAGTTGCACCATGTGCAGAGGATTGGGATGGTTTTCCGAGACATCCGTTTGCATCTACACATGTTTTGCATTTCATCTGGTCATCGGTGGAAATATACATTAACCATGAAAATTCTTCAAGCCATTTGGACTTGAAGACACCCTTTTTGGGTCAGGAAAACTGCTGAGGATCTGCATCATTTTTTTTTCTCTGCCCGGTAGACGAAGATTGTGTTGGGTGGACATATTCCCCAATTAGACAAAATGGCCAGTTGATGAAACACGTAAGGATTTCCAAGATTGTTGCAAAGATGTCCTTGTGTGTGTCTGAAACTCTTGCGCTCAAAGAAGCGTGCGTCCTTTTCGATTTTTGATTGCAAAATACGCACACGTGTGCGTTAATGGGAACCCTGCTGACTGGAAGTAAAACCTGGGCTTTGGGACCCACAAAAGTGTCCCTTTCCCCTAAATAGAGGTGTCCTTTCAATAGAGGTAACAGTTACAAAGATTATGTGAACATTTTTCCGGCACCAAATTTTTGTGTCCCTTGAATGGAGATGTCCCTTGAATAGAGAAAGAGAAAGGGCTCCTCTCCCCAGTCCACATCTGAGTTCCTCGCCTTTTTCTTTTACCTCGTGCGATTCCTCGTGCTTGCTTTTCGCATCGTTCCTTCTGACAGGAACAGACAACAGGCTGTAGCAGGAGCCGATGTACAATTGGCTCCTGAGGGATGTCAAGCTGTTGTGGGAAGGGGGTATCTACTGTTTGCAAAAGGTAAAGTAAAGTGACAAGATTTGACCCGATTCTCTCAAAATGTCCTTTTGAACCCATAGATTTCGATAGCGCACTGTTATGTCACAGAATAATATTAGCAGCATCTCAACAAAATTTGCTAGAATTTTGTTTT